AACACATCTCTTTTTCAGTTGTCAACCTTGGTGTCACCAATGTACTATTATCTAGTTCTTTCTACCTATTTTATTTCACTTTTCTTTTTACATTGGTTTATCCCTGGCAATCTCTGTCTTTGATTCTGGTAACCTCCATTTTGTATATTCATTTATCTGATTTGGGGAAGGGAAGGGAAATAACAGAATGCTGAAAGAAGTGCAAAGGATGACCTATTGCAACAATGAACCTCACGGGACATTATGTTGGAAATAAACTTCACAACTTTGGGCAGGGGGGAGAACTATGGAGAACAAAAATGGAGTGGGTATCGATGTTCAACAAGAAATGTCCCTTACTCATGTACCTGTTACCCTACTGGTCAGCATCTTCACCAATTAAAATTAAGAGCATTTGTTTTAAGGCCCCAAATTCTTAGTGCTCTACTAATTGAAAAAAGCACAGCTATCACACCAAGGTAAATGGGCGGCTTCTCTCCGTCAGAAGCAGCGCCTGCGTTCATCCAAGGACCATCCCTTCGCTCTGGTCCACACCCACAGAGCTGACTATCCCAACTTCGTGCAAAGCTAAGTGTATTGGAGCTCAGGGTGCAAATACCCAGGTAGAGCATTCAGAATTTGGGGGCCTTACAACATTAATTATGAGTGCTCGCCTCATTCACAAAAGGACAGACATCCCAACCAAGATAAATACAGCTTCTTCCCATCAGAAGCAGCTCGTGTTCATCCTAGCGTCTAGGGCTGCCCACAGCCACAGGTCTGATTCTTACCCGGACATCTTGGAGAGCCGAGAAGTGTATTGGAGCTCAGGGTGCAAATGACAAGCTAGAGCACGCAGAATGTGGAACTCAGGCCCAGCCCTGGCCTCGGTGCCTGGAGTCCACCAGCACTGGTCTCTGGGGCCCCACTGCCCAGCCCCTGCACGGTGGGGCTCCCTGCTCACCCCCCCCCCCCCCCCCGCCCCATCCTGCCACCCGCCTGCCCTGCTTCCCCCGCCCAGAGAGCCAGGGTCCCAAAATTAAGATGTTGCTGGTGGTCTGTGAAGAAGGCTCATCCCACTTAGTGCCCTCCCTGCCCGGGGCCCATCCAGCATGAGTGGACGCCCGCCTGCTCACTCCACGCCTGGGCCTCTGCGCCTGGTCCTCCCACCCCTTCCTGAGGACGGGTGAACCGGCAGAGCTGGTGAGAAGTGCTCAGCCCCCGAGCTGCTGGGTAGCAGACGCCTGTAGTTCCGGCTCCGGGAGGTCACGCGTCCCAGGCCCGTCCTAGCGAGGCTCAACAATAAGCTAAACGCGATGAAAGGGCTGGGAGGGCACCGGTGGCGGGCACTGGCCTGGCATGCCAGACCTGTGTCCCAGGACTGTAGAGAATAAGCGACATAAAACAATAAAATGAAAAGGTGGGGGAAGGAGGCAGCAGGTGCTCAGCCCGCCCAGGGCGGCCGCGGGGCCGAGCCCAGGCTGCGCCGGCAGTGCGCGCAGACCTCCGGAGGCTGCGGGGCATCGCAGTGCACGCGCGCCCCCTGGTGGCGGCCTGGCGGCCAGCACCCTCCCAGGACCGCCTGGTGGAAGACATAAAAGACACATTTATGCACTTAAACAGCTTCAAAATGCACAAAACGTGCATTTTGTGTACTTATTACATGCATATCTAAGGTATATAAATATATCTTATGGGCTAAATGGACGCACTGGCAAGATACACAAGGATTTTATGAGCTTTTGGGGGACATGACTCGTGTTTTCCGGGAGGAGCGTGCGGGGCCAGCAGAGGGAACCCGAGCTCCGCGCCAGTGTCAGGGTGAGCGGCCACGCCCACCGGGGGGCCACCCCCGGCCGGGCTCTGGCCCCTCCCCTCCCAGTCCCTTCCCTCCCAGGCCCCGCCCCTCCCAGGCCCTCCCCTCTGCCCAGGCCCTCCCCTCTGCCCAGGCCCCGCCCCTTCAGGGAGCCTCCCCTCCCAGGCCCTCCCCTCTGTCCAGGCCCCGCCCCTCCCCGGCCACGCCCCTCCAGGGCCCCGCCCCTCCGGCCCCCAACGTGGCCCTGGAAAGCAGCCTGGCGCTGCTAAACCCTGCACTCCGGCAGCCAGGTACCCAGGTCGAGCAGGACGGGGCGGGCCCTGTGTATGTCTGGGCCGTGGAGCCCATCCCGCCGGGCAGCGCCTCCAGGAAGGCCAAGCCTCTATAACCAGGCTTCCCGCTTCCCTCTCGTCCCTCCTTTGCTCGCCTCTTCCTCTTTGTTTTCTCTGGGCTCACTAGGCGGGCTGGCCAGGTGCTGCTGAGCCACGCCTCCCGCCTTGCTTTTCGCTAGTCATTCAAGGACCGCGTCTCCCTCCCACCTGGCCCCAGCCTCAGCGCGATCCTCCCACCGCCAGATTCTTCCAGCTGCTGGGCTCCAAAGCATCGGGCCTCCCTCCGTGGGCGAAGTCCCGCAGGCTCTCCTGCCGGCCTTACCGCGCCAGCCTCCTACTCTTGGCCTCCACATGGCCCTCCACCATGCACAGAAGGTAGTGCACTTGCTAGGGCAGGCTGAGGCGGTCCTGGCAGTCCTGAGTGAGGAGGCAAGAGGGGCAGAGGGCCGGTCCCTCCCCCGCGGACGCAGCAACCTCACTTACTGACCCCCCCTTCACTCCCCCCGCCCCCACCACCACCACAATGTCTTCCTGCTGCGGAGTCCGGCTGTGGGCCGCAGCCTGACGCTGAGGTGGCAGATGAACCCTTAGGCGGGGTCCAGCAGGAGGCAGCCAGGCCTGGCTGGCAGGGGGCTCAGGGCTTCTCCTCTGATCTTGCAATAACCCATGGAATTTCCTCAAAATGCACGTTTTGATTCTGACTTTGTGGTATCAAAGTGTCTTCCCATTTTGTTTTCTCTCTTCATGACCCAACGAGCAAAATAAAGCACCGTCAAGTGGGTTTGGCAAGCCTCAACCGTGGCCTCACCTCCCTGCTGTCTGGAAAGTCCACAGACATCACTGTCCCCATGGCCAGCTGCACCTGACCCTGCAATGACTGCTGTCTGTCACATGACCTCTCTCCCCATCAGATGACCCCCCCTCCTCACTGGATGACCCCTCTCCTCCTCCAGTGAGCCCACTCTGCATCGTACAGAGCTGAGCCACCCTAAGCCACATGCCAACACGCAGTGGGCATGCAATTACAAGTGGTGAATGAATGTGAAGTAAACTTCCCATACTTGGGCTACAGAGGCGTGGGGAGGTAGGGGACAGGGCAGGGATGGCACGTAGCCCCATCCTGCTGAGCTGGGGTGTTCAGTTCCCTGTGCTCTGGCCACTGGGGGAAATGGAGCCATAAGGGAAAGCTTTGAGAAATACTCGGCTGGAGGACACGGCCTGGCAGACGGCTTCTTGCTCGGCAGGGAGCTTGTGCAGGTCGCCCCCACCGAACAAATCAGAGGGAAGACGGCAGAAGGGAAGTGAACTAACCCAGACCACATGAGTGGGGGAGACGCCGCACAGAGGGCTGAGAACCCCATCCCTGCGCTGCGCCCACGGCTGGGGTGCTGGGGAGGTGGGGCTGGCTGCTACTCTCAAACTTAGGTGGTGTCAAGTGCCAACAGCAGATGGCAGCACCTCTGGAACTTTCCATTTCTCCCACAGAATCCACAGTCGGAGGTTTTTGGGTCCCCCTTCCTCTGCGCACCCCCGTCTGGCTGCATCCATTTCTCTTTGATTCCCAGGACTTAGTTTCCCCCCAACACCGCCATTGAGCCTGGAAAGGGTGCTGGGGGAGAAGGTGATGACCAGGGTACGGATCCAATCTCAGGAAGGAAGGCCAGCAGTGTGATGACAGAACACACACAGGTGCAGGGCTGAGGGGGAAGAGCCCCTGGGGCCTGACCCGCACCCCACTGCTTTGTACTGTACCCAGACCCCCTGCCCGCCTGGCCAGCCCTGAGGATGCTTCCACCACTCAGTTCCTGGAGCCTCATGGCCACATGGTACCCCCAGTCTGGAGATGGCAGGCATGGAGCGCGGCTCTGCACTGACTTGCATTCGGTCTGACTCTGGCACCAACCAGGCCTTTCTAACCTGGCTGACCAGGGGGGCCTGAGGCTGCTGCCTGGGGACCAGCTCTGTACAGCATGGGGCTCAGGGCTCTGCTTCAGACCGACGGCCGTGTCAGGAGCTCCCCTCTCCAGCACGGGCTCGGAGGGTGAAGAGAAGGAGGCCGCCTGGGAAGTGCTAACATATTTATTTCAAGATGGGGAATAGGGCAATGGAACCACCACCAAGAGAATGCCAGGTGACGCCCTGGCCCCTCGCATGGGTGGGTGACTACAGGGGTCCTCCTGGGCAGGGGGTGGCCAGGGGCAGCAGTGGGGACTGACTGGCAGAGGCAGGGCCCACCCCAGGCAAGACCGTGGCCAGCGACAGGAGCCTGCCCCCCACACAGGTGAGCAAAGCGGCGAGCCCCAGGCCACAGAGCTGTGATGCTCTCCCCACCACACACACACACACACACACATGCACACACGCACATGCATGCACACACGCATACACACACACTTACACACTCTCCCATGCATGCACACACGCTCATATATTAACTCTGATTTACAGGTGCACCCTAGCCAGAGGGCAATTGGAAAGAAACGATGCGATTATTCTGCAGAGGAGACGACGGCTCAGCTGCCCGTGTGGCCGGCAGAGCCGGGGCGATGAGGCCCATGGAGCATCATCCAGGTCCTGGATCCTCACCGGCCACTCGTCAGCTCCTCATTCTCCTCTGAGACACCATGAGCCAGGCCACACTGCCCCCGCCTGGCCATGGCCGGCAGAGCAGGCTCCACTGCGGGGAGCCCATGGAGGTGTTTCCAGCCTGATTCCAGCCCCTGAGGGGCACACATGGAGGAGCCGGGTGCCCAGCGCCTGGTGTCACCCTTCAAGGCCCCTTAGGGAGGCCCAGGAAGTCCAGCACTGTGGGCCCGGGGCCTCCCGGGCTGTGGAATATGAACACGCAGAAGCCACCTCAAATCAACGGAGGATGGAGCCCCCATTTCTCTGAGGCCGGGTGAGGTTCGGAAGCTGTGGCTGCTGCAGACGATGAGGAAGTGGGGGGGCCCTGCCTGGCCCAGACCCTGGCACCAGGGCGGGGATGACGCAGAGGGGAACAGTGGCCCCCCTGAGGCCTGGATCTGGGGGACACAGCTCCAGGGGTCCCCGAGAAGGGTTGAGGGTGCTTTCCAAGGTTCACCAGCCTCAGGGCTCCTGGGAGACCCATGGGGCTCAAGTCTTCAGCTGGGGACCCCATGCAGCCCGGGGCCTGGGCTCCTGTGGCTGCCACCATGTCCCGAGTTGGGCTGGTCAGGCCCAGCCCCTCCGGCTACTTGATGTAGTTCTTAATCGTCCACCGCTGCCCTGTGCAGGGCCGCAGGATGAGGTCCAGGCCAGACAGGCCCCGGTTTTCCACCTCCAGGCAGCGCCCTGTGCCTTTGTTCATGATGGCTCCATTCTGGAAGACAGACGGACGGATGGACAGATGGGAGGAGCCGTCAAGGTCAACACCAAGGCACCTGGCCTTGAGAACCATCCCTCCCATCCTTTCCTCATCCGGTGCCAGGCCATGCAAAGGACCATGGGAGTCTCCTGGGAAGACTAAGTCAGAGAACCAATGAACTGGCCAGTCCCAGTGGCCCAGCCAGGGGAGAGCAGGGATGGGGTGCAGTCAAGGCGAAGAACTTTCCAGAGGGGATCGAGATCTTACCCCCTGCCCTGTAAACCCCCTCCATCCCATCCGCCCCCATCCCACCCCAGTGCCCACCTGGATGAAGGCCCAGCGCTTGTGCAGGCTGCTCTTGACCTTGTCACAGTCCAGGAGCTGGGGCAGCCGGCTCTTGGCGCTGTCCACCAGGCAGCGGGTGTCCGGCAGGAGTGTGGTGGTCCCCAGGGCGCCCAGGTGCAGGAGGCCCTCCTTGGTGTAGCGGGCCAGCTACAGGGAGGGCAGGAGGGACGTGTGCACCAGCCCCTCCCTCACCCCTCCATTTGCGTTCCAGCCACAGCCTGTCTCCACAGGACTGGTACACAGGACCCCAAGCTCACAGAGCCTCGATCAGACCCCCCTCCTGGCTCCCCCACCCCTTCCCACCCTGGCCCTGCCCACCCCAGCCCTGCCCACTCCAGCCCCAGCCCCTTTCTGAGTGTTTTGAGCGCGTCTCAGAACTCCAGCCTTTTGTTCAGCCTGCCAGGAGGGCAGGAGCTGGCGAAAAGAACTGGCACCTGAATTCTTGGCTCACCCCTGTAACCCCAGCTATTCAGAGGGCTAGGATCTGAAGACTCAAGACACTAACTCTGATTAACCAGTAAAATGCTGGACTGGGGGCATGGTTCAAATGGTAGAGCACCAGACATGAGCATGGAAGCCAAGTGAAAATTGGTTGGCCCTGAGTTCGAACCTCAGTACACACACACACACACACACACACACACACACACACACACACACGGCAAAACCAAAAACTAAATTCTGGCAGGTTGTCAGGCCAAGGTGAGAGCAGTGAGCTCCTTGCTTCCAAAGGGGGGCTCTGGGACACACGTGTGTGCACTCACCAGCCCTGTGGGGGTTCTGGCCACCCGCAGCACACGGCTAGTACTGAGGATGCACGTGAAGGCGTGTCTTGTACCCTTTTTCTAAGCATTCCTTAGGGCAATCAATAGCGCGATTTCCACACCCATGCTTTCAGGATTATTCTCTGTCCCTCGCTTATAGGAAGCTGAGTCGCACGCACCAGGTTACCTAGTGGGGTCCCCATCTCTAAACTAGTGTCCTGAGACCCCAGTAGCAGGAGAGCCTCCCCACTCCACCCCACCCCAGGCTCCCAGAAAGCCAGGGGCCCTGCGGCTGGGGAAACACAGGGCACGAGAGGAGGGGCTCCTCTCCCAGTGAAATAGGGTCTTCTCTGGATTCGAGTCTCTTGGAGAAGGGACGAGAGTGCTGGGCGGCAATCTGCAGCGGCTCCCTGTCCAGAAGAGACAGGACATTCTTACATGTCCTCGAGAGACGCCATCTTGCACTTACAATCCTATTACGTACACTGGGAGTTTCCCTTCCAACCCACCTCTACGTGCTCACACCCTACACGGGTCAGATGCACCCCTTCCGCTGCCCTCTCTCCCATGCAACGCTACTCATCAGCCACCTTCTAGAACGTTCCAAGGCCCGCCTGTGATTTCCACTCTTCCATGGTGTCCCATTTTAACTCTTCGGACCCCGAGTCATCAAATCCGTGGGTCCTTGAGCTCTGGTCCTTCTCGTGGCACAGCTGTTCCCTTGTTGGTCTTGGCTGCTTTGTTTCTCCCTGCACCGGCAGGTGGATGGGTATGGGGTCTCCACCATCCGGCCGTGTGGTCCACGCTGCTCTGTGGACCGTGTGCATGCACGTCTTCCATCCCGCTATGAGGACTCCTGGGGTCCCGAGGCAACACCCTTGGCAAGTTGGGGAACCAACAAGTGGCATTCTAGCACAGCTTGGCCATGCCGCATGCCTGGCATCAGGAAGCCGGGGTACCGGCATGTCCCCAGCCCAGACAAGCAGGCGTTGTCTGTGTGCTCATTCCAGCTCTGCAAGGGGCACAGGTAGGGGACATGAGGGCCCTGATGGCGGTTTCTCTAGTAGCTAAGGGTGAGCATGTTGGGGTGGGGTTTAGGGTTAGGAGTTAGGATTTGGGGCTGGGGTTAGAGGTTAGGGATTAAGGTCAGGACAGGTGCCTACTGATCATTTTGCACCTTCTTTGGGAAAATGTCTATCTGGAACATTTGCCAATTTAAAAAAATGGGGCTTCCTTTCTAGTGTTAAGTTGTATGAATTATTTGTATATTCTGGAAGCCAGAACTTCTTATCAGATTCACAAATATTTTCTTCCATTCTGTTTTTTAAAACTTTTTCAGCAGCATTCTTTGACATACAAAAGGTTTTCATTTTGATCAAGTTCAATTCATCTGTTTTTTTCCCTGGCTGCTTGTACTTTTGATGTTGTTTTGGGAACCACTGCCGAATGCAGGGCCACGAAGACATCCCTCTCCTTGCGTTTTCTGAGGCTTCTCCATTTAGGCCTTTGATCTGTGCTGTGTTCATCCCCGGGGCACAAGGGATGGCCGGGTGCAGATTCATCCTTGTTCATGTGTGCAGGGGTCCCTGAGCCATCTGTCAGAAGAAGGTTCTCCATTGAAGTTCCCGGTCCCCTTGTCAGGATTAGTTGTGCGGTGCTGCTGGCTTTGGGTGACCCCACTGATCCTGCCTGGTCTTGATGCTCAATCCCAGCTTTGTGGTCAGATTTGAGGTTCTCTGTGTGACCCCACTGATCCTACCCCCTCCTGGCTGCCCCAATCTTGACGTTCGATCACAGCTTGGAGGTGAGGTTTGAGTCTTCCCATCCCATGCCTCTCTCAGCATTGGCTGTGGCAGCTCTCCTGTGTTTTCCCAGCAGGCTTACAGCCAACTTTCCCACTACCTCAGAGGCTGTGGTGGGGCTCTGGTGGGGTCTGTGGGTTACCATGGAGGTGTGTGCTCACTTGGCTCCTATCTCCACTCCTCTTTGACTGGGGCATTTACTTGTCAACAGTGCTCTGTGGCCATCCGCTCAGGCCAAGGGCTCTTGCCCTTTGTCCCTGGCTCACGGCCTCCCATCTGCCTTTCTCCCCTAGCTCCTCAAGTCTGTCTTCCTTTCCCTCTCCTCAGTTCCTCCAGGCTCCGACCCTCTTCTTGGTCATCTTTAGCAGAGGGCCCCAGATCTACACCTGGACTTTGATCACCTGGACTTCTCGCATTGCTAGGATGGCAGGCATGTTCCACCATGCTCAGCTTTTCATTGGTTGAGATGAGCTCTTGCAATTTTTTTTTGTCCTGGCTGTCTTTGAATCATGGTTCTGCACATTTCCATCTCCTGAGCAGCTAGGATGACTGGTGCAAGCCATAAAACCCAGCTCTCTGCTTGCATTTTTTTTTTTTTTAGGGAAATCACAAATATAAATAAATCTTGAAAAAAAATCTCAAGCCGTAGATGTGAGAGCTATTACCTTGTCTCCCGGATCTCCCTGGCACGGTGATGCATTTTGTAGCCTGTTTCCCTCCTCGCTGCCTCCCAGCAGTCCTTCTGAAGGGCGGGCAGGGACCAGAGCCACTGGAGTCCTGGATCAGGGCAGCCCAGAGACATCCCAGCACCCTAGCCTGGCTCTGTCAGTCTGACTTCTGTTTCGACGCCAGATGGCGCTCGAAGCAGCCGCGTGGTGCGGGGAGCTGGGCGGGCGGGTAGGTTCAGAGGCCAGGGTGAAGGACAGGCCAGGGCCAGCCCCTTCCTCATCCCCTGCTCTGCCCCTCACGCCTGGGTTCTGCTGGACATTTCTGTACAGGTGTGGTGCCTCCTTTAAACGCCCCCTTTGGTCATGGAGGACACCAGACTTCTTGTGAAAAAGTCTTGGGGAACTGTGACCCAGAACTCACCAGCACTCCTTTCCTGGGGCTGAAAAGGCCTGCCTGCCAGCCTTCCCTCCCTCCCTCCCCTTGCCTCTCTCTCTGTTGGTACTGAGGCTTACTTTCAAGGCCTTACTCTCCATTGATAGATGCCTGGTCACTCAAGCCACGACCCAGCCCTTTGCTGCAGCTTATTGTTCAGTTAGTATATTGTGCTTCTGCCCTGGGCTAACATGGACCATGCCCCCCCCCGCCCCCATATCCCACCCCACACTGTCTTCCTTGTGGCTGGGATCGCAGGTGTGACCCACCATGCCCGCCTATCCTTGGCTCATTGACTTGGTCGGAGCGATGACTTGAGGCTTCTTAGAAATGCCCAGCAGTGTGGCCTGGATGGCCCAGGGTGCCCGGGCCCCAGCGTGCCCGGCCTCTGATCCCTCCCGGCTCCACTTACACAACCGTGCAGTGGTGTCTTTCTCTGTGCAGGTTCTGGGCTGTTGTTTTTAGGCCAGCAGCAGCAGCAGCACAAGGGAAGCAAGTCACAAGAAGCAAATCCTCTGAACGCCTTCAGAATGTCTTGTTCTGGGTTTGCCACGAGGCCCAAGGGAGAGACGGACATAGCTGCCTACAACCCTGGTGCACTCAGAACAAACCCTCTGCGTTCCAAGAACAATTTATCCTCATTTGAGGGGGAAAGGAATTTCCCATCTGAGCGGATCTGAGACACACAGAACCATTAGCCCAAACCTAAAACAGCCTGTCGGGAAATCTGAACTATGCAGGCAAGAGCCAGTCAACCAACACAGAACCAATAACCGTGGAAGGAGGGTGGAACGGAGACCCACCCAGCTGTCAATAAAGACAGCTTGCAGTGCGAGACTCCACACAGACCAGAGCCAAGGGCAGCCTGCGCACCTCCTGCCCAGGGACGGCGGTCCTCCTGTTTACTGCCCGCGTGATGCTCACCACAATGGCGGTAGACCTCACGCCCGTGCGCATGTTCACATCATCAAATCCCTCCTGTCCTGAGCACGGAGGAGGCAGCCCAGCAGTGGGCAGGGAGGGGCCCTTGGTGCCGGCCTGAGGGAGGAGGCGGCCTAGCAGTGGAGGAGGAAGGCCTCCCCAGTGCCAGCCTAAGGGAGGAGGTAGCCCAGCAGTGGAAGAGGAAAGGACAGGGCGCAGGCACCTGTGTGGATGGGGGCGTGATCACCGCGAGTGGGCGTGTCCCTCTGAAGCCTTAGGGCATGTGAAACTTACTCCACCCTCCACAGGTGGGTGGAGTAACGCAGCTGGCTGGTGCAGTGGCTCACACTGTCAGCTCAGCAACTACGGGAGGCAGGAGGATCGCTGTTCAAGGCCAGCCAGGACAAAAGTGGGAGGCCCTATCTGAAAAATGACCACAGCAAAAACACTGAAGGTGTGACTCAGGTGGCAGAGCACCTGCCCCACAAACCTGAGGCATGAGTTCAAACCCTAGTAATACTGGTGTGTGTGTGTGTGTGTGTGTGTGTACCCGCACGCG